CTCGCTGTGTCTCTGTCAAATAAAAAAAAAAAAAAAGATTCCATTTATCTATTTGTCGGAGAGAGGCGGCACAAGCGGGGGAGCAGCAGGCAGAGGGAGAAGCAGGCTCCCAGCTGAGCAGGGAGCCCAATGAGGGGCTCAAACCCAAGACCTTGGGATCAAGACCTGAGCCGAAGGCAGACACCTAACTGACTGAGCCACCCTGGCATCCCTATATTATTTTTTTAAAGATCTTATATGTTTATTTGAGAGAGTGAGAGCGAGAGAGAGCATCAGCAGGGGGAGGGGCAGAGGGAGAAGCAGACTTCCCACTGAGCAGGGAGCCGGAAATGGGGCTCGATCCCAGGACCCTGGGATCATGACCTGAGCTAAAGGCAGACGCTTAACAGACTGAGCCACCCTGGCGCCCCTATAGGTTTTTTTTTTTTTAAAGATTTTATTTATTCATGTGAGACACAGAGAGAGAGAGAGAGCATGAGCAGGGGGAGAGGCAGAGGGAGAAGCAGGCTCCCCGCTTAGCCAGGAGCCCGATGTGGGGCTCGATCCCAGGACCCTGGGATCATGACCTGAGCCGAAGGCAGACGCTTAACCATCTGAGCCACCCAGGCACCCCCCATAGGTTTTATATACACATTCTGGTTTATATCCACAGTCCCCTCCTTATACACACACACATATCTGTGCCTACTATTTGATAATCTCCTTTATATAATACATCTTGAATCTCTACCTTTCAGTATGTTACTATACATAATACAATAGTTGCATGACATCCTATTATACAGATATTCATAATTTAATCACTCCATTTTTGAATATGGTCATTCCCAAATTCTGGTAATTCTACTTTATTTAAAACAAAAAACAAAACAAAAAAAACCCCCGGAAAAATTTATTTGTGCTACAAGATGTTATACAAACTATAAAAAACCAGGAAGTTACCCCAGACCTAGCCACCCTTGAACTATTAGTTTTTTAATTTATTTTGACCAGTGTTTTGATGTCTGTTTAGTCTTTTTCCTAGGCATTCATTCATTCAATTACTGAGTTCTTTTTTTTTTTTTTTTAAGATTTTATTTATTTATTTGACAGAGAGCACAAGCAGGGGGAGTGATAGGGAGAGGGAGAAACAGGCTCCCGCTGAGCAGGGAGCCCAATGTAGGACTTGATCCCAGGACTGAGATCATGACCTGAGCTGAAGGCAGATGCTCAACCAAATGAGCCACCCAGGTGCCCCTACTCACTGAGTTCTTGCTATGTGCCAGGTTTTTGGTTTTTTACTTTTATTCCATAACTATTTTTTTGTATTATACTAAAAAAAAAAAAACAAAAAAAAACTTCATAAGTATTTTGCTGGTTAATAGTATCCCCAATCAATTTCTTTTTGTGGTTGTCAAACATCACTCCCAACATGGGTGTGCCCCTGTTTACTTATCCATTTCTCTACTGCTCAACAGATTTTGATTAATGTAATTTTCTCATCCACAAAGTCCCAATTTACTTGGTTCACATAATTTTTGTACAGTCTGGTAGTCATCACTGTAGCTTAATTCAAAATATATACACAATGACCAACTATTTTTTTTTTTTAAAGATTTTATTTATTTATTTCACAGAGAGAGACACAGTGAGAGAGGGAACACAAGCAGGGGGAGTGGGAGAAGCAGGCTTCCCAGAGAGCAGGGAGCCCAATGCGGGGCTCAATCCCAGGACCCTGGGATCATGACCTGAGTCGAAGGCAGACGCTTAATGACTAAGCCACCCAGGCACCCCTACAATGACCAACTGTTCTAAAGTCTAAAGATTATCACTTTACTTCTACATAGCACATTATAGTGTTACAAATATATATATTTCCCCCCAACAATACATTTAACTGCCATAAGCCTGTCATTTTACCAATGGGAAAAGGAAGGCACACAGAAGTCACCCCTAATGGACTTGCCCAAGGCCCTACAGCTATTCAGCTGCACTGACTAAACCTTGGTGCCCTAATAGGATTAAAATCAAATTTTATGCTCCTTTTGAATTTCCTCATACACCTACAGCAGGGTTTCTCCTCCAGAAAGCCTTTCTCAACATCTTTCACCAACTCCTGTAACTGACTATCCTCCCTGCATCCGAAACACACTTTTATCGGAGCACAAATAACACTTAATTACTGATTCCTTGCCCCATACTCAAGACCCTCTGGAAAACAATCTTTTTCTTATTCATCTCCAAATACCCAGTACCTAATGCAGTACCTGACACAAAGTAGAAAGGCAAGTGTTCAAAGAATGGAATGAACACATTACAAGTGTTCAATAAATACTATAAATATTTAGAGCACATCTAAACATCTGGTTGATCCAATTCAAATATGTTTCAGAGAAAGTCACACTCCACTGTGTCTAGAACAAATCAGGTTCAAATATAAAACTTGTATTCAAAGAATAGATATTATCAATATAGAAAATATAATTCTTAAGTGCCACTTATATTCAGAGCAATAAACTAGTAACAATACTTAGTAATTCTAAAACACACAAAACAGTTTAGATGCTTCTGAATAATTGTCTTAGGAGTCACAAAGTCTACCAGCTTAAGACTTAGCCATTTTATTATGACTCTGATTACAGAACAACTTGAATGGGGGAGGTAACAAAATCAGTATAAACTGTTAATTATACTCGAGTTAATGTGACATTTGCTTTCAAAATTCTCTTCTGTAGAATTTACAATTTTAGATCTGATTTTGCTCATTGCTTTATTTAAAAATTATAATTCTTAGGTCATTGGAATGGTCTTAATATTTCTGACTTGGTCCAGCCATCCAGAAACTCCCTACCAATCTGTGCAGAGCTCTTGTGCATGTTGAACATGTGCAAGAACATGCATGCAAGCTAACAAGCACCATTTAATACAATTTAACATCTATATTCCACAGTAGGATACTACAGGGAACAAAGTAAGAAGCTGGATGGTAGAGCTGTTCTATAGCTCAAAAGTATTGCTTCTCGAATACTAAAGTAAAAGTATTTCCACTATAGTACCTATACAAAAAGCAATTCTTATTCCCAGGTACTTATGACCCACTTTGTTGAAAACCTGTGTTATCTTAGACAGTCATACAGAGTTCCCATTCTGATGCTAAAATATGTATTTGTTTTAATGTAAAAATTTAAAAATTACTTACCAGTCAAATTACTTAACTCACCGCCCCCTCAATGAGCACAATTGAAGCTCCAAGAAGATGGGTCATGTTTATCTTGTGACTTCAAGTACCCCGGAATCATACCACTTTGTACCCTAAGGGTATTCATATCCCAGTTTGAGAAACAGGGATCTAAACAATTAAATAGCCATAACACTTAAAAGTGACCAACATGTTCCTATAATCCCATTCCCCAAACTCTTATGGCTAGTTTTCTCAACAGCTTTTCAAATCAGTATTGTTTTTCTTTTCAGCACTCATTAATATGTACTCTGTGTCAACACTCCTAAAAAAAACCTGCAAAGTACAAATTATTTCTGCAGTGACAGAATAATAGCCCATAGACCTTGTCCTTCCCATCTATCAATGTACCAAGCTGCCCATGGAAAACAGAGATGTGAAGAATAGTAGAGCTTTCACTCCTGTTCCCTTCCTCCTCTCTACTTGCTCCAGGCCCAGCTTTTAAGAAAAATCTTAGTAGTCATCACTTAGATGATTCATTCACACAAGCTTATCTAATGTCAGCATTTCTAATTCCCACCTCTCTTTTGCCGTTACAAAAGTGCAATTAAACTATTTTCACATTTTTAAAACATTTTCACATTTTCTAGGGGATAAGAAAGATGTGCTTTCTGATAGCCTGAGAAGAGATAATTTTCCTACTCAGAAACCTACTTTGTTGTTTATGAGATTCCAAAGCCTAGTAGATCTCAACATTTATAAGGGCTGTTTCAAGTTCCCTATGATGTCCATTATATTTTATAACAGACATTGTAGGCTACAGTAAATTTTAAGTGACACTTTAAAATGTTTTTAAAAGTTATTCGTAATGACTATAACTGATGGAAAAATGGGTTATCAGCTAGGCTAACTCAAGTTAACTAAGACAACTTTTATCTGTTTCCCCAAGAACAGGATTCCATCAAAATTTCAAATTGCCCTAGGCCGTGGACTTTTGAGGTCATTTGCCAATAGTTAAAAAATATATTCCAAGGGTTTCTGCAGAAAAACAACCATTTCCTGGGGTCTTTCTACGTACACACTCAGAATGGTACTTAACGCTTTACACACATTCTCATCAACTTGGAGAACAGCCTCTGTTAACTGGTGTTGTTCTCTCACAAATGGGGACCGTAGGAGTAGAAAGGTTAAGTAACTTGCTCAGTGTCACCCAGCTAGCATATGGCAGTACAGTTCCAAACCAAGGACTCTAACTATAAAACCGGTATGCCCTCAATCACCCACTGTCCTGCATCTCCTATTCCCAAGAACAATATAGCAAATCCTCCAACCCCAGAAAGGATTTACTACTCCCATTTTCAAGACCAAGAAATGGAAAGAGCATTTACCTCTCCGTGACTGCAAAGTCAGTTTGAGGAGGGAAAACAGAACTCTCAAGCCCCTGGTTAGCAATCTGTCCACTAGTGCATCTTGTTCTTTGGCTCCAGATCTGTGATCATTCTAAAACAGAAACACAAATAGTTTTATGAATACCAAATATACACAAATGCACATATAATACGAAAAGCAAAATGAGGGCAAGATGAAAACTGATAAAATTGTTAAAAAACAATATACTTGTTAACAGGTGACATTACTAAATGAGGCATTCCATAAATTCTATCAAGCCAATAAAACACTCACACTTATTTTTTAGACATTTGCTTAATATATAAAGGATCTGTAATTATCAAAACAGTACCCCAGTGGGGTGCCTGGCTGGTTCAGTTGGTGGAGCACGTGACTCTTGATCTCAGGGTTCTGGGTTTGAGCCCCAAGTTGGGTATAGAGAGTATTAAAAAAAAAAAAAATCAAATCTTAAAAAAAAAAGTACACCATTATGATCTTGCAAGCAAATAATGGCCCATGTATGTATATTCAAGCTGACAAAAAATTAATTCTTATAGATATAGTAGTAGTCCTTTAATAGTATCATTTCCTTATATTCAGCAAGTAGTGGCTTTACTGATTAAGGTAGTTTACACCACAAGACTGTATTTTTCAGTTTAATAAGATAACTATGGAGAGAGCTTTCACTGACTTGAAATTCCTAGAAGCATAGCAATGAAATACTTTGTTAGCTGACATTTTCCTCCTTAAATTACAAATAAATTAACTGTCAAGCTTCAAGCTTCAGGCAACAGTAGAGTGGAACTTATTAGGAAGGAAGGAAGGAAAGAAGGAAGGAAGGAAGGAAGGAAGGAAGGAAGGAAGGAAGGAAGGAAGGGAAACTCACAAGTGAAATTAAAGTGCTAAAATTGAGTTAAGAGTTTCCAAATAGGGGCGGCTGGGTGGCTCAGTCGTTAAGCGTCTGCCTTCAGCTCAGGTCATGATCCCAGGGTCCTGAGATCGAGCCCAGCATCGGGCTCCCTGCTCCGCGGGAAGCCTGCTTCTCCCTCTCCCACTCCCCCTACTTGTGTTCCTGCTCTCACTATCTCTCTCTGTGAAATAAATAAATAAAATCTTTAAAAAAAAAAAAGTTTCCGAGAAATCTCGCATATCAGGTAAAACTAGGAGGGAATCCATCTCATAATTAACTAAAGCCCATAAAATCAAGCTGATATAATATTTTCTTAGATGAAGCTAAAGAAGTTTTCTCTGAGGCAATTTACAACTTGAATTGAGGATTAGTATATCTAGTCCAAGAAACACTTTTTTTTTTTTTTTAAGATTTTATTTATTTGACAGAGAGAGACACAGAGAGAGAGGGAACACAAGCAGGGGGAGTGGGAGAGGGAGAAGCAGGCTTCCCACTGAGCAGGGAGCCCGATGCGGGGCTCGATCCCAGGACCCTGGGATCCTGACCTGAGCCGAAGGCAGACGCTTTAACGACTGAGCCACTCAGGCACCCCAAGAAACATTTTTGTATTGGAGTCCATATATTGTTACTAGCAGGCCTCAAAGGAGATGAGATTTCATGTACCTCAACATTCTAAGAGTGAATAAAAATGAAGATCAAGTATGGAAAAATCACTATTCTTGGTATACATATTAGCAGTCTATACGCATTGTTCCATCTTTGCACTCAAATACTAATCACTAAGAAAATGCACAAAGATACTGCCAGAGAAGATTTGAAGATAGTGACTAGATAAAGTTTAGGGATGTTTAGAAAAACAAATATGGTATGCCAAATCCACCCATCAATTGCAAACCAGGGTCTTCAAGATTACACATTATTTGCCATTATTGTTCTTTCCAAAGCGGTATGCTCTTTCTCGAAGTATTAAATTATGACAAATTTTAGTTGTTCGAAGAGGGACATGATTTCTAGCAAAAGAGCCTGAAGTCATCTGGGACCAAGACAGGTAAATAGGGTAGATAGATGATCAACTAAATTCCTGGTCTTAAAAAATGAAATGGAGGCTATAAAATGGATGATGGGGAGTGAATTTGATGCCAGCAGCATCCCTAAAGCAAAACAAAACAAAACAGAAAGTCTCTAGAGGAGACTTTTTGCCAACAGGCACCACTGTGCAAGGCTCTGCCACAGGACTCCTCCTTGAGGCCCTAGTCAGCCACAGGTGGCCTCTGTACTCCCAAAGATCTCCCTCATTTTGTGTGTTGTTTAAAGCAAAATCCTAAAGCTCTTAGAATTGGAATGCATCTTATTCTAAGAATGACTTTTACAACTTCTAAATTTTCTTACGTTGGTTGAATAGACCCCTAAGGATGAGTTTTACAATTCCTCTTGAATAAGCAGTATTTTCTTAAGTGGGCAAACATTCCTGTTGTAATCTTTTTCATGTTACTGATTTAAGTAATAAGTTCCTTTGCGTAACCTTATATCCTCAATTTATTCTCTGTAGATTTCATTTTCCAATCAAGTATGAATCCTGGCATACAGGAAATCTCAAAGAACAGCAACTCTGTAGACAAAGTCTATACCATTAAAACAGCATAAATGATATGAAAAACTAAGAAGATGACTGCAGAGGGCAGAACTGTATGAAGAAACAAAACATGGTCTGTGGAGCACAACACTAACCAGGGAAAACAAGCTTTGCTCCTGGATCAATTACAGATCTTCTGGATTTTAATCTTTAACCCGAATAGAGCTTATTTTTATAAGTAAAACAGACTACCTGCCATCCACAATGTCAAAAGAAAAATAAAACCAAAAATCTCAAGAAATGCAAAAAATTACACAAATGGACTAATTTATTAGACAATTAAGCATAGTTCTATTCTCAAATCTAACACTTCATCAACACTACTGCATTTGTTAGTGCAATTTTACTTTTACCAGAGAGCAGGGGGAGAAGGAACGTTTTGTAGGGTTAAAAAAAAGAGATGCTGAAAGACTCTCCTATAGAGGCAGATTCCTGCAAAATCCTACAGATTGAGATTACACACAGCAGACCCGACAACTTTGCTTAGCACCAGGCTGTTTTAATTTCCTCATACGCTTAACATAGCTTTTCTTAAAAAAAAAAAAAAAGTTAATCAAAACCTTCCTCTCTCCAAAGCAACCCAAGCTGACACATCAACTACTGCACGATACTGTATTAAAGTACTAGAACATTTCAGGAAAATAAAAGAGAAAACTATGGCAATCCAACAGGAAGCTTTTTAATCATTCAAGAAGACAATTAAGGACAATAAATTTAATATACATGCCCTGTTTAACTTCTTTTACCGCCTATAGGGGACGTAGATTTTTAACTTTCCTAGTTGATTTAAACTCAAAGCATGAAGACTACGTATGCGAATGTTTACTTAATGCTGCACTCTGGGCTACAGGAAGTAAGCTACTAAAGAGTAGTTACATTAGGCGTAGATATTTATAAACCAACTGCAACTAGTGACCCAGGATTCAATTACAACATCAACCCTCATATTTCAGCGTATGGGCAAATTACCAGTGGAGTCAAGAATAAATTCATTCTGCCCTACTGACGCTTTAGATCGGGTTGCACAATCCCGGGGCAGAACTGCCTTCATCTAGCCCTAAAGCATCAAGTACTAAATACTGTACTAAGTTAGCGTCGGGACATTTTAAAGCGGGAAGGAAACTCAAGGGTCGCCTGAACCAATTTAGCCAGCCCATAATCCCGAATTCAGGAATGTGTCACGTCACTTGAGATCAGAACGAAATTAAGTTTTGATCCCTTTGAGATCTCTTAGCGCACAAAGTCAGGCTATCACTACAAGGGGAGTCCGACCCTGGCTGTAGAAAAACTACTTGGTGCGGAACTCGAGTCTCTTCCGCCCACCGTGGGGGACCGCACCGGTCAGGTCCAGCGAGGAGCCCCGCCGTGAGTTTGGGGGCGCAGCCGGGCCCGGCGGGGGCGGCGAGCGCGCGTCCCCCCGCCCGCTCAGGCAGCGTCGAGGCGCGAGCAGCTCAGCCAGCCTTGCAGAGGGAGCTCTCGGCAGCTCTGGGGTCCCTCTGCTCGCAGCCGCAGCAGCGCCGCCTGCGCCACTCGGCGGAGACGGAGACCAGCGGCGGCGGCGCGCGGACTGGGAGCGACCGCTGAGCAGCCGACCGGCAGGGGTATGCTTGCAGAGCGGCCGGGTAGGTTCCGGGGACCGGGCAAGCTGGAGGAGGGGCAGCCCGAGAGGCGTCGGCCAGGGCCCGACACCCATACTACACGGAAACCGGGCTGCGCGCGCGGCAGCAGTGGGTCCGGACCCTACAGCAAGGCGGGCGCGGGAGCCGGGACAGAGAGATCGCCTTTCGGCTGCGGCCACCCGCCGCGGGAGGGGCGGAGGGCAGAGGGCGGGCCGCGGCCGGGCAATCAGTCGGGCCAAGAGCCGGCCTCGAGGGCAGAGACAAAGGAAGGAAAATGGAGTCGCCGGCGCGCGGGCCTCTGTTGCCGCCACCGCCGCCGGAGGCCTAGCGCGCCGCCAGGAGGGAGGCCTAGCGGGAGGGTGTGGGGGGGGGCGGCCGGGCCGCGGCGGCGACGGGCAATGGCGGCGGCCGCGCCGCAGCAGGGACGGTAGAGGGAGACAAACACCCCCCGGCGGCGGCGCTGGCGCCGGGCTGCAGCCAGCGCCGACCGGAGCGGCCCCATCGTGACACCTAGAGGCGGCCCGCGAAACCTCCTCCACCCCGGGCCCCCTTACCTCCGCGCCACACCCCCTGCAGCGCCCGCTCCGCCGCCGCTCCACCGCTCCGGCCACCCGGCGTCCCCGGCCAGCTCCGCGCACCCGCACCGGCTACCGCCACCGCCGCTGCCGCCAAAGAAGCAGCTCCGCGCACGGTTTAATCGCTCCACAGGCTCGGGCACAAAATGGCGGCGGCGCGGTGCAGTGCGCCTGCGTCGGCGCTGCCGGGGCCGCGGGTGCTGATAAGGGAAGGGACGGGGGGGGGGGCCGGCCGGGCGACGAGTGGAGGGCGGGGGAGGAAAGGTGAGGGGAGGGGTTGGCGCAGGGCAGCATGGGAGGCGGCCCCGGGCGCCAACTTTCAAAAACGGGCGCGATGGCGTCAAGGGACGCGCCGCGAGTCGCGTCACGCCGCACGCGCCCTCCCGCGCCCTCGCCCGGTCGCGCGTGGGCTCTGCGGGCGCCGCGACGTCCGGGCTCCCGCTGGGTGGGGCTTCCTGGGCGGAGGCCGCCGCCTCTGGGCTGTACAGGATCCCAGGCTTGTTTGACCTGGTTCTCTAGCCACAGTCTCCCGCCCTGAACCCGTAAAGGGGGGGTTGGGGGTGGGAGGGAGAGTGTTTGGAGGAAGCGCGCGCCGGGCTAGTTGCTGGAGCAGAGGCGGTTCTTGGGCCGGGCCCCGCCCAAGTCTCCGCCCTAGCCGGGCCGGACCCTCCCTCCCAGCTCCCCACCGCTGCCAGCCACGGTGTTAAGGCCGGGCTGGTCCCCATACACTCCCAGCTCCTCAGAACTGTACAGCGCCCGCGAGAGAGAGCGAGAAGGGCTGTCCTTGCCCAGTGGCTTTTGAGGGATCTCTCCGCCTCCTAAAACCGGGTGCAAGAGAAGGCATGGGCTTCCCCTTGGTGTCACCAGGCCACTTCAGCCAAGAAAGGCCAACGGAAGACCAGATTTGAGGCTTTTACACGACCATACCGGTCTTTTGCCAAAAGAACTTTCTTATTTGGCGTGATTTAATGCTGTATTTTTAAACGTACATTTCTTGTCTCTGCTCGAGAGTTAAGTTCTCTGTGGGCGGTGCCTTTCAGCCCTTCAGCCTTACAGTGCGGTCGTCCCTCCCCCTCCCCAGGAAGCACCTGCGGATTCTACCCAACCAGCGATGAAGTTCACCGACCACAGACTGGAAGATGTTCTGGTGACCCAGAGAGGAGAGCCTTTGGTACTTAGGGGAATCTGACTCGGGACTGTATTGTGAACTCCCATACCTTAGATGTCACGGACAACAAACGGACCCAGCATCAAGGAGACAGTTTTTGCTCCATTCAGCTGATTGTTCTATTATGAGGATGCCAGTCCAATATTGACATTTTCTCGGGGTTTTGTTGAAAAAGGGAATCAGAAATCTAGATTTTTGTAATGTAAAATCTTCAGGTATTTAGGTGTTAGCAACTCAGGTGTTTTTAAACTATATGAGCTGATTAAACCATATATATGTGTGTGGGCTATCACTTGGAGGAAAGAGTGAAGAGAAATTCCAAGGCCAGATCCTAGACACTCCAGCATTTAGGAATAGGATAATGGAGAAGGAAACTAAAAGGGGGCAGCCAGGAAGACAGAAAAAAATCCACAAGCATGTTGAATTTGGAATCCATGGGCAGAGAAGGTTTCCGTAGGGGGGAGTGGTCAACTGTGTCTAATGCTGCTGAGAGGTCAACTTGGGCCAGAGACATGGCTTTTGGATTGGTCACCTTGGAATTCAATGGAGAATATCATTGGCAAATTTGGCTTGATTCATGTTGGTAAATCGAGACTTGGACCTCACTAGAATGGGTTGAGAATGAATGGAAAAGTAAGGAAATAGAGACAGCACACGTAGGCAACATGAGAAGTTTTGCTGTGAAGGGAGCAAAGAAATTTAGAGATAACTGGAAAGATACGGGCTCAAGGGAGGAGATGTTTTAAAAAATGGTAGGGTTCTGGAGCATGTTTATGTGCCATTGGGAGTGATATAGGAGAGAGAAGGCTTGCTTGACCTATATAGGAGTGAAATCCATGAGAGGATATAAGGAAACTAGGAGGACTAACCTTGGATAGGAACAGGATGCTTCCATTGTGATAATGGGTAATAAAGGTGAAGATCAATGCAAATGCTGGTGAGGATAGGGGGAGCAAGCGTACAACTTTCCTAGTAGGACTGCCTTGGCAGCATTGGGTACCCATTTGAAGTTTGTGATCATGAATTTAAAGTTAAACCAGTTGGCCTAGTATGTTTTTTTCCAGCAATATTCAGCTGCTTAGGTACAGACATGCAGGAAAGAGATAATTTGGTTTCTCAACACCAGGGCCCAAGTTTTCTGGTTCCTAATCTCAGGTACTTGCCTTATTAATCACCTACTTAATATTCTAGAAATGTGTGAATATTTGAAAAATTTACATGTGACCCCTTTTTATAGAAACCAAATGATTCCCTTTGTCTCTTATGTATACCCGAGGACTCAAAAATAAAGGCAAACTTAGTGGAAATTACCAGATACCTCTGGAATATTTGCATCTTGCATTTTCTTCAGTCCTCCACCCCAAACACCTCCTGGTATACCTGGAAACTATGTACTGGGAACAACAAGGCTGACTTGCGCTTAAAATCTTAGCTTCTTTTTCTTTCTGGCACCTTTAATAATCTGATTAATAAACTTTCTGTAAGACTTTACCTCAAACCATCTTCCTTATCTTTAAGAGTAAGCTATAAGAATGTTTTCTAAAGCTTTAATATGGGCAAATATAAGTCAATGTATTTAGATGGAAAAAACTTCAACTATATTTACAATGATATTTACAGCTGCTATGGCCTGAATATTTGTGTCCCTCTCAAAATTCATATTTGAAATCCTAATGCTCAATGTATTAGTAGGTGGGGCCTTTAGGAGGTACCTAAGTCATGAGTGTGGAACCCTCATAAATTGAATAAATGCCTTGTAAAAGAGGCTTAATAGAGATCCCTAGTCCCTTCCACCATGTTAAGGACACAACCAGAAGGCAACGGCTATGAACCAGGAAGAGGGCCTTCATCAGAATGCAATCATGTTGGTACCTTGATCTTGGACTACCCAGCCTCCAGAACTGTGAGCAATAAATTTGTTGTTTATAAGCCACCCAGCCAGTGGTATTTTGTTATAGCAGCCTGAGACAACTATATTTATAACAACTATATCAAGGGCGCCTCGTTGGCTCAGTTAGTAGAGCGTGTGACTCTTGATCTCAGGGTTGTAAGCTGGAGCCCCACACTGGGTGTAGAGATTACTTGCAAGTAAAATCTTTAGGGGTTCCTGGGTGCCTCAGTCAGTTGCGCGTCTGACTCTGGTTTCCGCTCAGGTGGTAATCTCATGAATCCCAAGATCGAGCCTGCACGGGGTTCTATGCTCAGCGCTCAGTGGGAAGTCAGCTTGAAGATTCTCCGCCCCTCCCCCCATGCCTGCTCACATTCTCTCTCTAATAAATAAATCTTTAAAAAAAAACAACAAACTATCAATTGTATGACCTCTGAAGCATGAGTTAGAAGCCAAGAGTGGGGTCCAAGTGGCCTTGGAGCCTGCTTTCTGAAGACAAAGATCCCAGGTGCTATTCTGACCCAGGGCTGAGAAAATGCTGAGGATCACTAGAAAGGAACAAAAGGAAATGTTTTCTTCTCCCTGTAGGAAACAGGGATATGTCCTGTTTCATGGAATTGACTCCAAAGACCAAGAAATGGAGAGCCAAACCAAAAGGATAGGATGCTTCAGGCTGGACAGAAACAAGCTGAGAGCAAAAAGTAATATGATGAAAGCATGTGAAACCACTGGGAAGATAAAAATAAGGACAGATTTGTTCCCTGCAGTACTACTCCAGACTACCTCACCAATGAGAACTGTGGTGATTTAAAACCACTCTGTGATTTAAGGAAGAATTCTTCTCATGAACTCTAAGGTTTGTAGTCCACAGGAGTCCAGGGCATTATCAGCTGGGGCTGTCAGCTTACCACATGGCAATGTGAAGTCACCACGTTCCAGGATCTGGTCCTCAGCCTCACGGGCAGGACGAGAAATGTAGTCTGTATTGTAAGAGTGTATTTCTTCCTTAGGGACTTGTCAGGTTCACAGGAGCTTGATGGATAAGCAGAGGGCTGCTTTACTAACTGGCAAGTGGACCAGTGTCCTTGTGCTGGCAAAAGGCATGTTCTTTCCCTACAGGAGAGCCTCCTGGGAAGCCAAATTACTAGAAAGCTTGGTGAGCAGTTGATTAGATTAAGAGATGTAAATTACATAACTTAAATGTTTAATATTGTCCTCTCTAGATGCTAGAGTCAGATTGTCCAGGATTTTAATCTTATCTTGGCTCTTTATTAGTTGTGTGATCTTGGGTGAATTACAACAACTGCAGATTTCTTCTCTATGAGATAGGATGATAATTGTACTTCACACAGGATTAAACAAGAAAATGCAAGTAAAGCTTTTGGCATAATTCTAGACACCAGTAATCGTACAAAAAATGTAAACTATTATTATTTTACTGTTATGCTTCTTGCTACCTACCTTCACTCCCAAATCATCCTTCTAGTGGACACTGTCTTTCTAGATTCATTAACAGAATCAGTTACTGACTGGGCTTTCCTTGGCCTGGGAGCCATTCTTTCTGGGAAAGGTGTACTTTGTGCTGTAATTCCCAGAAAACAATTCTATTTCCACGATCTTCCTTGGTTCCCCCTGTTGCCCCATGTAAAGTCTGCTATTATTACGATCACTTATGTTTCGTTTTGTTTTTGTTTTTGTTTTTAACTCTTTAAGCAAGAAAATCAACAATGGAGGAGAGGTGTTGATTTTCTAAGTAAAAATGGGCAGGAATCTTCTTGCCCACTTTGGGGGTAAGACCTAAAGTTACACCTGAATACCCCTGTTGTGTCTGTATCTATTATGTGAGATAGAATCCAATTTAGCAAACATTTATTGAGTACCTGCTGTTCTAGGCACTGGGGATATAAAAGTGACCCAAAATGTGTTTCCTGTCCTTGAACTCAAAGTTTAACTGGTCAGACTGGTTAAAAAAAAAACAACAGAACAAAACAAAACAAAAAATTATTGTGAAAATGGTTATAATGGGAAGAAGTGGATTCACAGACAAAGGAGTAAATCATTCTCTAGGAGTATCTCATTTCAACTGGGTGGTAAAGGATCAGAAGGCATTAACAAGCAAGGCAAAGTCATGTAAGGTGAAAAGGAGCCATAATCAAGAGCATAAAAGGGCACAAGAATGTTGGGAGACAGCAAGTCATTCTACACCATTGAACTAGGGACACTAAACCTTTTTTTTTTGACACTAAGCCTTACAAGACATTTGGAAAGTTTTCACAGTGTCAAGGGCAACCACTTTCTCCTAACATTTTAAAGACCTGCCCTTTCATATCATCTCCTACCCAGACCACAAGGATTTTTTTCTTTACTGATGTCTACTTTCTTTAGACCCCTGTAAAAAGCCACGTTTATTTTTTACCTCTTAGCTCAAATTACTGCTTTCTAGAGTCTAAAGGACTTTACCTAGACCTACATCCCACACTGGGGGATGTGCTCTTTTGTTTTCTGTGCTCTAACCTGCATTTTTCAGGCATGCATTGATCACCTTTTAATAATCCATCTCATCGGGGTGCCTGGGTGGCTTAGTTGTTAAGTGTCTGCCTTCGGCTCAGGTCATGATCCCAGAGTCCTGCGATCGAGCCCCGTGCATCGGGCTCCCTGCTCAGCGGGAAGCCTGTTTCTCCCTCTCCCACTCCCCCCTGCTTGTGTTCCTTCTCTCGCTTTGTCTCTCTCTGTCAAATAAATAAATAAATAAAATCTTCAAAAAAAAATCCATCTCATCTGTACGTCTTTCATTTTGCAAAACATCTTCACGTCTGCCCTTTCAGTTGATGTTCACAGCTCCGTTTGAAGAGCCAGACACAGTTTTGTCCTAAACTCAAGAAATGATGTGACTTGCTCAGAGTCGTCCAGTAACTTGTTGGAAAAACCAGAAATGAGTGGTCAGATCTTCCAGCCCCAGCCCCTCTCTTCCAGTTCTTTCAATGGCTGCTCAGAAGTCCTCACTGTCAGATAACATTTCCGTTTTTATAGGGATCCTCTAGAGATGATGCTTAGCTCACAGTTTGCCTTGGAAGGGCAAGAGGTAGGGGAAAGGAGGTCTATCAGGAAGGCTCTGCATCTCTGCTCCCCTCATGCTCTGCCACATCCCTAAATGTTATGGGATTAGTTTAGAGGAAATGGTTTCTGCCCCTAAAAAAGTTGGACACTATTGCCTTAACTCAAAGGAAGGGCTTTAATTTTGAAAATTTCAGGCATTTGGAAGGCAGATAGCAGAAGTATTTGGACTGATGAATTTTTAATCTAGAAGTATGTTCTGAGCAACTGCTTGAGATAACAGATCAATGCCCATACTGGGTAATACTGGAGAGAGATGCTGTCCCTAGCCCTCAAGTGCTTTACATTTTGTCTTAGCCTATAGAGGCCAGACTAAACTTCACTAGCATCAGTAGCTAAAAGTCAAGGACGGAGAGGCAAGTATAAGGTATGACTACAGGTGTGGGGGAAACAGATTGGTCACTGAACATCGCAGTAGTCATGTAAGACTTAACAGTAAAGCAAGGATGACTCTCAAGCTTCTGCCTCTAGCCTACGCCCTTATCTTCCTGCCCTGGATCTACATTTCCAGGTTCTTTCTGGTTACTTCCTCCTGGAAAGCTCCCAGGTCACCTTACCGGCCTTGTTACTCACCTCCCAACCTTCTTCTGTTATAAGGGCTGTCCCTTTTTAGTGAAAGATACCACCATCCAGCTATCACCAGGCCAGAAACTTGGGCTTCACTCACCTCCCACATCCTATCATCACCAAACCGTTTTTCCATTTTGCTTTTGGAACATCTCTTCACTAGCCTCTCCATCCCTGCTGCCTCCATCTGGCCCAGACTATCAGTCTCCTAACTATGCCTTCAGATGCCTCACTGCTTCCTGCTTCCTCTCTCCACACAACTGCTAGAATGACCTTTCCAAAGACCAGATGTGCTCACAAAATTCCCCTGCTTCAAGCCCACACATGGGTCTCCAGTGCCCTGGGGGTGAATTCCAAACCCCAGAGCCACTCCACAAGGCCCTCTGACAAGCCCCTGCCCAACTCTTCAGCCTCATTTTTTAAGACTTTATTTTTAAGTAATCTCCACACCCAATGTGGGGCTTGAACTCACAACCCCGAGATCAAAAGTTGCACGCTCCACTGACTGAGTCAACAGGTGCCCCTCTTCAGCCTCATTTCTAACGGCTCCCTCTGGCCCCTGTGGATTTAACTTGCTTGCCTCCTCAACCAGTCCAGCCTCGGCTCTCCTTGCCTATATTGTCAGGCTTCCATTTTATTCCTTAATTGGGATCCCAGTGTAAAAGTGCATTCTAAAACACTGTGCTTTGTAGGGTACATGGGGGTATTTTGAGTGTCCAGGCTTTTTCTGCATTAAACACGGTAATATATATATATATATATGGATATAAAATAAGTAATTGCAATGGGGTGTGAACAGTACTAGACTAGGGGAAGTGCAGGCTCCCATGACAGGAGCATAGTGGAAGAGCAAGCTCCTGAAGAAATCTGTGATGTCTAGGTTGAAGCCTATTCAGGTGAACAGGTATTAACAAGGCAAGATGAGGTGGGAAGAGTGTACCACGAGGGGCAAGCAAGCCCCGCAAGAAGGCTCCAGTGCAGAGCAAGAAGTTAGGTGGCATAACTGAGGCTGGCTTTGTGTCCAGGTTGAGGGGCCTGGACTCTTCCCTAGGAGAAAAGAAAGCCTGTGTGGTGGGTTTTAGAAATCACTCTGATGAACCATGGAGAATGGATGGAAGAAGGATAAGACCAAAGGCAGGAAGCCTGTGAGGGGACAGTTTTAGTCTCTCAGCGAGAGGTCAACATGTCCTGTATCTGAGTGGTGCCCATGGGGATAATAAAGAGTGGACAGAATTTAGAAATATTTAGGGCGATAATTGAGGGGATTCTGGTGGCTGGGTAGTTGGTAACCTCAAGAGACCTGGAGGAGAAATAGGTTTTGAGATACTGAGTTTGATTTTGAGCATGCTGAGTTTGAAACACCTTGGCTATTCAAAAGGAGGTGTCCAGTCAGCAGTTGGACATGGGAGTGAGGAGAGAGCCATGTGAATCATTGGCATACATATAGATGGAGCCAGAGAAACAGATGAATGTGTTTCAAGAGAGAACAGGAAAGGGCCTGGAATGGAATCCTGTGGAGTGATGTTTGTAAGAGGATGCTTGAGGAGGAGGTGGCAGAGAAGGCTGTAAGGAGATTCAGAGGATATAGCTAGAAACGTACATATTAGCCATAGCAATTCAGCTACTTATTCAGTGGCTCTAAGTCAGCATTTTTAAAAAAAGATTCTATTTATTTATTTGAGAGAGAAAGAAAGGGAAAGGGAGCATGACCAGGGGGAAGGAGAGAGGGAGAAGCAGACTCCTCACTGAGCAGGGAGCCCAAGGCTTGATCCCAGGCCCCTGGGATCATGACCTGAGCTGAAAGCAGACGCTTAACTGGCTGAGCCACCCAGGCACCCTAAGTCAGCATTCACTGGGAGTCCATATGGCCTGAGTGTATTCAGAGACAAGCGAGACTTTACTGTTGACATCAAACTCAAATGTGGCCACCACCACGTTGCAACCTTCTGAAAAAAGAGGCCCCTCTCTTGCAGGCCAATGACCGTCTTATTTTCTAAATGATAGACTGTTTTTCCATAGCTGGAGTCCTTACCAAGCTCACTCTTCCGTATTACCCAGGCCCAGAAGATCTGGGTCCGGCAGCTGAGCCACGATGGGCAGATGGCCTGAATAGGACACTCCAGGGCTGTCTGGGGGTGGGGGCAGGGGTAGGGGTAAGGAGCATGTCATATGCCTAGGGTTCAGCAAATTGTACCCACGCGCCATGCACAGAAACACACAAGGAAGGCACCCCCACTCTGTGGGTGAGACAAAGAAGCAGTCCTTTTCCCATGTGCCAACCCATCTGCTTCTTTGCCTTCCCAAACTTGCCTTTTTTTCCTTTCTTCTTTTTTTTTTTTTTGGTTCTCTACAGCTTTGAAAACACGAGGAAGAAGAGTGGGAAACAGGAGAAAAGCTAAGATTGGAAGAGGAAAGGGGAGGAGAAAAGGGAGGCCCCCGTGACCACCAATACAATAGACTGCGTCCTGGCCTACCACAGCCTGGTCCCTTTTTTGCAATGCAGACTTATGTTACGGTCCGGGAGAGCCACAACGATGATGGCTAAGGCGTGGCTGTGGTCTTGATGGCCTTAATTGACAGGGTGCTCCTCCGTGTGTCACACTTCCTCTTCCTCACAGAGCCTGGCAGAGGCTCCACAGGACAACTGGGCATAGGCTTTCCCTGCCCTGGTGCCTTTGACTCCTGATGGTGTCACCAGCCGCCCACTCCCATCACCTGGGGCAGCAGGAATGAGTGCCTCCCTGAACCTTGAGGTGGTGGCAGATAAGGCCGCAAGGAGATTCAGAGGATATAGCTAGAAACGTACATGCTAGCCTTGGCAATTCAGCTACTTATTCAGTGGCTGCAGCGTAAGAGGTAGGGGGAGTGCCCTGTGGGAAGCACTTGTGAGGCTGTGTGTGTGTTGGGAGAGGGGAGGGTACAAGAGGGAGGATGGGTTCTCCCTGCCCTCCACTACCTCACAGACATGGGCCTAGGTGTAGGAGGCCATTCAGCCTGACCTCAAGGCATTGAGGGAGGGGGTCTGAGTGGCTTATTCTGGGCTTGATCCACATAACCCTGAGCTAAGTAGGCTTGATGAGTCAAAGGCCGGACACTCTTCTTGCCTTGGCATTGACAGTCCTTCACCGGTACCTGGCTTTGCTCATGGTGTCTTCTTTCTGGCTCCTGACCCTCACACCCACCCTCAGCTAGAGCTGAATACTAGGCTCTGGTCTTAGGACTCTCCTTGTAGAGGACAGAGAGGGGCCCTATCCTTTCTCAGCACTGGAAAGCAGGCCATTCAGATTTTTGGTGACAGCCCCATTTGACCTCTGGCTGGGATATTTTTCCATCCTCTACATCTTGCCCAGGCCCTGTCCTCTCCTGTGGATTGAGCCGTGAGCTCGTGATGGCCCCGTCACCCCTGTCTGCACTTTCCCAGGACCTGGTCAGCCAGTGTTCACTTCCTCTTTCCCCACCACACAGGCTATGCATGCTTCAAATCCAAGTCGACAGTCCTGCCTACCAGTGGGCCTCTTGTGGGGCCTCAGGCCTGAGGGGCTCCTTGGGGTGGTTCTGGGACTGCAACCTTCCTGCAGGGGCCCTTGGGGCAGGCCCAAGCTGTAGCCAACTTTGGGTGCTGGTTTGGTCTCCATGACTTGTTTGCTTTCTCCATCCCCTGCCACTCTAGCCGACCACCCAAAAAGCTGAGCTGCACATCGTCCCCCATCCCCTCCATGCCACCCTTCGTAGTTACAGAGGGAACACAGCACTGTGCCGGTGTGCTGAGGGTGTCTACCCGCCCCCACCCCCACCTCAGCCCCGACTCTTCTGGAATGAGCCACCTGCTTCCACACACAGGTGTTTCCTGTGCTCCTTCCTGTTGGCCGTTTTTCTGCTCAGCTTGGCTTCCCCAGCAGGTGGTTAAAGGCCCAGCCAAACCTCCTCATACACAGCGCTAAAACACTGGGGAGCAGGGCTCCCTGGGGATCTGGGTCACCACCCCCCCCCCAGCCTCCCCGGTGGGGGGGGGCTGTTGGCACCTCATTGGCTCCTCTTGAGTGCAGGCGCACACACTCTCCCCAGTGTGTCCCACTTGTGTGCTGACACCACGTGCACTGAGACACCAGAGTGGGCTCTGGGAGTAGGGAGGGCCTGTTTTCCTTGCCCCTGGATAATAATGAAAGCTCAGAGGGAGAGGGGAAGGGTAGAGAGCCTGTTTGTCCAGCCTTGGGTGTGGGCCCCCTCCAGCCCTCTTTGGAACAGGCCTGCCACCCTGAAATCCCATCCCCGCCGCCCCCCTGCCCCCCATTGAATTCTTAACCTTCTGGGGTTAACACACTCACGTGCCAGGCAGCTCTGGGAAGAGGTGAGCCCTCTCCCTGGAGCCCTGCTTCCTGAAGCAGCAGTCTGCCCGCTGTCAGGGGTGGGGAGCTCAGGGTTCAGTCAGGTTTGTTATTACAGAGAAAAGAGGCAGCTTGGGGAGAGAAAAAACTTGCTGTTTAGGGTCACGGGGGCAGCTACTCGCGTTTCCTGCTTCCCAGGCCCCAGCTCTCCCGCTCTGCAAGGATCTCCCCTTTCTTCCTATCCAGCCCTCCAGGAGCTCCTTGCTCTCAGCTCAGCCACCTTGGTAGGAAGCTGCTGTTGCTGAGGGAAGACCCAGAAGCCTGGCGTTCCCTGATGGGGTTCTGCTGCCCCCTTCTGGCCAGAAGCTCCAGTCTTCCCCACGCTCGTTGCGGCCGGCTTCGTCTGCCTCCAGGCCACCTGCAGCTAGCTGCTAGGGAGCCATTCCCAGGACTGGCACCTCTGGGCTTTCTCTGGGCCAGCTCCACAGTTTGGCTGCAGCCTGGGCCCATAGCTTCCAGGCCCAGGGCACCCCCGGTCTCCAGACAGGGCCTCGTCAGCAACACCCAACCACCTTCTTCCTCTGCTCTCTTTCCCAACCCCAGTTCCAGCCTCTGGGCTCTCTTCTGCCTGAATTTCCAGGGCCAAAGCACATCCATTGTCACAGCTGGGGGTGCAGATACACTAGTGTCAGGAAGCGCCAGAGCCAGAGGGTGCTGGAGCAGAGGGTCAGGAACGCACCAGGCCAGGCCATGTAGGAAAGGCATTTTGCTTTTTTATTTTCTGTAAAACTCTGTAAATAAAATATAAAACCAAGGGATGTGGTGGGACACTGATTTGTGGCAAGTGTGCTGAGCCGAGGCTGGGAGGCACTTGACTGCAGGCACTGACTGCCAACCCAAGGGCAACGGAAGAATATATTAGATTTTCACTGATGGGAATCTGTGGGGGAGAGGTGTCTGGAGCCAGCCCTCACCCTCCCTGCCAGTGCCTGATAAGCCCTGAAAGTGAGGGGAAGGGGCACTGGGAGCCAGCGGGGAGGGAGGGAATTTAGAATGCCGTGCTGGCCATGCTGCCAGGCCCAAAGATGCGGGGCAGGGCGTCCAGTGATTCCTCCAGCCGTCGGTGGGCAGACTGCCCCTCTTCCCCTGTAATAGGTAAGGATGGGGTCAGGAGTGATCCTAGCCCCATCTCGACCCTCCCATCCCTGACTCCATCTCACTCCAGCTCCCATCAGCCAAAATGTTCCCAAACTCGACTTGACCCCTATCTCCCATCTCCTAGCCTCACCACACTGTTGCAGGCTCTGCCGAGCAGCTTCCCTCACAGCTTCTGTGTCCGTTTGGCACAGGTACACCAGGGGCTCAATGCCCTCAGGAGCCTACCAGGGAGAGAACATTGAGGTGGGCCCAGTGGAGCAGGTGGGAAAGGCCCAGGGCCCAGGGCTGAGGGAGCTTTTGGGGGGTGTGAAGCGGGGGATGGGTTGGCAGGGGTTACCTTGATGCAGCCCAGGGCCAGGCAGCCAGCCACTCTCGTCTGTACATCCTCATCCTCGAGCTGGTCCAGGAAGCACAGCAGGGCCTGGGTAAGGGTGGGAGCGCAGACTTAGCCAGACACTGGGAGCCTGGGGCCCCAACCTTTGCCTCAAGGAAGGCCTGTCTGCCTCTCACCCGTTCCCGAAAGACAGGGCCCAGTGACAGGCTCCGCAGCTGGGTGCTGACAGCAGCCATGACCTTGTTGTTGCCATGGACCAGCAGGGAGCTGAGGGCCCGAAGCCCATCCTTTCGCAGCCGCCCCTCGGGCGCCAACCTCAGGGCCTTCAGCACAACAGCTTGGTCATCTGAGTTCAAATTCCGCACCAGTAACACTGAAAGAAAGGGAGGGGTGGGACAAGGTGGAGCCTCGTGGGGTGGGGTCCTTTGCACACTCATGCTCTCATCCACACTTCAGACCCACCCACAGGGTCAGGCCGCTTTGTGATCAGGGCCTCTGCCTCACCCTCCTCAGCGGTTTCAGTCACATAGGCCTCCATGGAGGGGCTATCCAAGGCTTCGACGTAACTCCAGAACTGGAAGACTGTGAACTGCTCTCCAGGGCCTGGCTGGGGCCTCCTGGGCAGCTTCTGCCCCAGGGCATCCTCCAGGAACTTGGCACACACTGTGGGAGGCAGTGCCGCAGGCCTCAGGGTTTGGATGGACCCAGGCCCTTACAGGGAAGAATGCTCCCATCCCAGGTTCAGGTCCAGGGGCCCCCTGTCCAAACCCTACCCTTCTGGGTCCTTCTGTGCAAAGGAAATAGCCTTCACTAGTTCTTCCTAGTGCTCAGCTCAGCAGGTCTGTATGGGCTGACCTGGCTTTTCCTGAGGTCCCGTCACTGGGGATCCGAGAAAGGAGGAAGAGGGGGCAGGCAGGCAGCCCACTTACCAGCCTCAGCTAGCCCCGGCTGGCGCAGGGAGAGACGGGCACTGTACTGATTGCAGAAGGTGAGGAGCACTCGCTCCACAGGGCAGATGAAGGGGCTGAGTCCCTCTGTGCACTGGTCCCAGAAGGTCAGGAAGCCGGGCCGGGAGGCTGAGAACTGCACCACTATGAGGAGGTGTAGATAAGCATCAGCAACCGAACAGGCAGATGGGCATGTAGATGGGGCTAGGTAAGGGAGGAGCTTCGGGGCAGACAGGGCCTTTACCTTCCTGCGCAGAGGTGGCAGGGATTTCCCATCGCCTGCTAAGCTCGCATACGGCCTCCAGCACTCTGGCCTCCCTCAGCAGCCGCTCCAGGGCCCATGCCTCCTGGCAGCGCAGGGGCCCAAATGTGCCCAGTTTCTGGAGAATAGGGGTGGCCAAGCAACTAAGACCTCAGGATAAAGACTGGGGAGGGTGGAGCCCAGGGACTACAAGTCTCAGCATGCATGGAGAGGGGGTGGGTAGCCAGAGTCCAGGAGGTGTTCCACTCAGCAAGAGCCAAATGCTAGGGCCCTGGGGGCAGTGGGGAGTGGAAGTCGGAGGAGGTATGGAGGGCCGGGATGGAAGTGCAGGGCTCCCTGGGATAAGGGGCTATAGAAGGAGGGTGTGGGGAATACCACTAGCCTCACCAGCAGGAGGCAGCTGCAGTGATACAGGTGCTGGACCAAGGCAGCGTCCAGGGCTGGACACTCCGTGCTGAGGGGGCGGGCACTGGGCAAGTCGAGGCTGTCCTCAGCCCCAGGCTCCAGGCTGTTTGGGGGCCTGAGAGAAAAATGGGGTCAATCACCCCAGGAGCACGCATCACCATGTGGTCACCAGTGTACTTTTATTAAAGTCACCCCATCCCAGAATGGAAGAACAGATGATGCACAGACAACAGACAATGGTTAAGTTCATGGAGGACTTCCGGAAGGAGGAAGGGACTAGGACCAGCAGGTGGTAGTGGGGATCTCCAGGGTCCGTCTGCCTTTTACCTCCTCCAGCTACAACTGCCGGGACTTCTGGGGCTGGGACGGGTGGGAGTAGGGTTGCAGGCGGGATGGTCTACGCAATTGGGACTGCAAGGAGTTATGGCCCAAAGAGTGCAGGGCACAGGGCCCTAACCTGGGCAGCAGCAGAGGGAGGAGGGGCTGGGCACAACCCTCAACCAGGATTTGGCAAAGGCCCCTCTGGGACAGGGAGCCACGGGCCTGGGTTCTCTGGGAAAGCCTAGGTTGAGACAGAGGGGGTTGATGCTGGGGGACCCAGGATGCATGGGGAGGCAGTGAAAGGGCTTGTCCATAGGGTAGATCCAAGGTGAGACCAGAGGAAAGAGGAGCTGGAGCAACATGAGCTGATGGGGACCAGCAGGAGAGGCAGGCATTGCAGGGACCAGAAGGAGGGAGGTCAGAAGTACTGGGGACACAGATAGGGTTAGAAACAGGCATCAAGGACACACAAGGACTATACAGGGTGGGGGTGAATACAGATGCACCTGCTGGCAGGTGCATCCCCTTCTGCCCACCTCCAGTCTTGCTGCTCTCCTTGTTGCTCTACCCGGCCCCACCTCTCCTGTTCCCCCCTCCTGGCCTTTCTCCTTCCCCTGGCACTCAGCTTACCTCTGCCCCCTCACTTGGCCCCCCTCACCTGTCTCCAGGACCATCCATGTCTTCATCTTCATCCTCGTTGAGGAAGCTGAAGCTCTCCAGGGCATGTTCCACAGTGATACTAAGGCTGGAGGCCCGGCTGCGAGTCAGGCCTTGTCTCTGCTGGGGTCATGAAGGGAGTCAGTGCCACCACCCACTGCCTGACTGCCCTCCCTGTGCTGCTGCAGCCCACCCACCCGCCTCACCATGAGCAGACTCTCCAGCCGGGTCACCTCCTGCTCCAGGCCCTGCAGCTCAGGGAACTGGCCACGATAGTCATCCAGAGCAGCCATTAGGGCCCCCAGGGCCTCTTCCAGCCTCCTATCCCCAGCCCCTCCAGCTGCCCCTGGAACTGAGGCCGGGGTGGCCACGGCCGGGCTAAGGTCTAAATGCTGGGGCACAGGGGCTAGAGGTGAGGGAGGGGGACTTGGGCTCTGAAGGATGGGCTCTCGGGGGTCTGGGGAAGGACTTGTGAGGGGTTCCCAACTGGATGAGGCGGGACATGGGTAGGAGGTACTGGGGGCTGTGGGGTCTGCCTGAGTGCAAGGAGTGGAGGCTGGGTAGCTGCAGGACAGGGTGTGGGTACCTGGGAGGGTGGGGTCTGTGTTTGTAGAGGGGCTGGGAAGTTCGGCATGGTCTAGACAAGTGGAAGAGCTTACAGTTAGAAGGGTGGGGCTTGTGACAGGATGGGTGGGGCTCCTGGTGGTCTGGACTGGGCCCTTAGCTTTGGGGGTAGGGCTTGTAGCAGTTTGAGTTGACATCCTGGCTTTGTGAGTAGGGCTTGTAGTGGTATGGGGGGGGCATGCAATAGTATTGGGGGGGCTTGTGGTAGTGTGGGTGGGGCTTGCAGTGGCATGGGTGGGGCTTGTAGTGGCATGAGTGGGGCTTGTAGTGGCATGAGTGAGGCTTGCTGTTGTGTGGGTGGGGCTTGCAGTGGCATGGGTGGGGCTTGCTGTAGTGTGTGTGGGGCTTGCCATAGTGTGGGTGGGGCTTGCTGTGACACAGGTGGGGCTTGCTGTAATGTGGGTGGGGCTTGCTGTGACACAGGTGGGGCTTGCTGTAATGTGGGTGGGGCTTGCAGTGGAATGGGTGGAGCTTGCAGTAGTGTGGGTGGGGCTTGTAGTGGCATGGGTCAGGCTTGCGGCAGTGTGGACAGGGCTTGTGATAGTCTGGACGGGGCCTGTAGTATTGGGGGTAGGACCTACAGTAGTGAGGGCAGAAAGCATTGCTTCGTCAGTGGGTCTTGTGGTGGTCCGGACTGGGGTTGTGGTACTGGGGGTAGAGCCTGTAGTTGAGGGGGTAGAGACTGTGGGCTTGTGGGTGGAACCTGTGGTAGGCTGAGTGGCGCTTGGAGCACTGTGGCTAGGGCTAATGGCATTATAGGTTGAGCCTGTAGTGGTGTGGGCGGGGCCTGGCAGTTCAGAAGAGCTAGAGTCTGTGACCTTGTGAACCAAGTCTAGATGTGCAGACAGGGCAGGATCTGTAGATGTGTGGGCAGGGCCTGTTGTACTGAGGGTGGGGCTTATGGCAGAATGGCAAGGGTCCACAGCAGGAGGGACAGGACCAGGTTGCTCCCCATGGGTGGGATCTGGGTGTGCAGGCAGGCTAGGTCCCTGAGCTAGATTTTCTAGACCCAAAGCCTCCACTGAAGCCTCAGCCAAGGCAGCATCCACACTGGCCTCACTGATGTGGCTCAGAGTCCGGCTGTAGGGTGCATGCCCATTGGCCAGGGCTGGGGCCATGGCGCCCTCTTCATCCATGGGCCTAGAGGTGGGGGTCTCAGGCCTACGGAAGGCGACTTGAATGGGCAGAGGTTCAGGCTGCTGCACCAGAGGCCTGGAGGCTGAAGAGTGGCGGGCAGTGCCTGAAAGCTGGGGGCTGGATGAGTCGTCTGAAGATTCAGATGATAGGGACCATGCTGTCCCATTCTCTAGCTCCTCCTGCCGCCTCAGCATATTCTGGGAGAGAGGAAAGGGCATTTCAGGACCACCCCAGGGAGCTCCTGGGGGATGGTGGGGCCTAAGCCTGGACTGTGACTCACGTAAAAGGCCTGTTCCCGAAGTGAGGGTGTGTCTGGTGGGCTCTGGCTATAGGTGGAGAAGCGCTTGGTGACTGTGGAGGCCTTATTGACAGTGGAAGCGGTTGAGGGCTGGTCATCCTTGTCGAAGGGGCTGGGGAAGGAAGAGGCTGTTAGCAGGTGCCACAGGCCCCCTGGACCTGTCCCCAAGCCACTCAGCAACACCAACCTCCATGTGACTTCCAAGCTGAGCTTGATGGTGCCAAGGTCATTGATGTCCACAGCCACAACTTGGGGCAGGGCAGCAAACAGGTCCTTGGTCTCACAGGAGACACTGCCTACAACCACGTGGTTGGCCAGACCCTTCAGTTCTGTTACCTGTAGCCAAGAATGCATCATGAGGTCACAAGGGTATAGGGGTCATGAGGTTGTGAGAGTAGAGACGTCTGAATATGCATGGGGGTTATAAACAGTCAAAGGGTCACGGGGCCATGAGAAGGTTGCAGGGATTGGAATTTTCTGAGTGACGGGGCCATGGAAGACTAAAGCAGCCTGGGAGCATGGGGATCAGAGAGGACCGAGTTTGGAGGGTGACTGAGGTCATGGGGGTCACAGCCTCATGGGGGTTCAGGGGGTCCAATATTCATAAGATTAAAAGAGAGAAAATCACGGAGTCATGAAGGTCATGGGGGTCACATATTCACAGATGAGTCACAGGATCACGTTGCCCTGTGGTCCTGGGCAGATACATCACCTTGATGGACAGGAATTCCGTGAGCAGAGGAAGAAAGACGGTTTCCTCACTGTCCCACACCTGCTTTCCGCTACCCTCAATTCGGCCCCGTAGTTTCCAGCGCTGCCGCCCATATTTCATGCAGATCTAGGTGAACAGGCAGGATGACGCAGCCCTGGGTGTTGCGACCCTCCCATCCCAGCCCTTCACTGCACATTCTCATACCTCATACTGATCGCCCACACACAGCCTGGCGAAGCCAGCCAGCCCTGGGAATTGGGGGAGAAGGAGATGAGCCATGTTGAGGGGTCCCAGGCACACAATTCCCTCTCCCCACAACCAGTCTGCTCCCATCACTTAGTACCTTTCATCCGGAGATGGAACTCCCCCAGCTGTGCCTCTAGCTCACTCTCCAGCAGACACATGCTCTGAGAGGGGTGGTCAAGGACAAGAGGGGGTCAAGAACCAGGCCCCCCTCACCAGCTCTGCTATACCCTGTGCCTCTGCCTCATGGACAGCCATCTCTCACCTCTGTGTACTCGCGATGCCCTCGAGTGGCTTCAGCCAGGCTGTCCCGGGCCTCGCGGCTCCCTGGAGACCCAGTGCTGTAGGCACGGACCATGTTGTAGGCACCATCCCGGAGACGTCGCTGGACACAGTATGCCTCATACAGCTCGTCAATCTGGGCAGATGAGTGGGGTGGTATTGGAGGAACTGAGACTCACTCTTGGGCTTGCTCCCCCAGGGCCTAGCACTGACCCCACCCCAATCTCCCTGTGATACCGGTCTACCGCCCCACTTGTGTGCACACACGCGTGCTGCACACGTACCTTGCTGGCATGGAACTCCAACCGTCGCAGGAAGCGTTCAATGGACTTGACTTGCTGAGGGAGAGGTACGTCAGGAGGGGCCAGAGGACCAGAGCCCTTTACCCTCCCCATGAGCTAACCTCTTCCAACACCACTCCCTACACACTCACCTTGTCCAAGTCATACAGGAAACCCTACAGGGGAGGAAGAGAGGAGGCACTTAGGAGGCATGGGAAGTATTCCAGCAGGGGCACCTGTCTACCCAGACCCAGCTAACTCCTCTCCTACACAGCCTTCCTCCCCCTCATACCATAGTCCACAGCCACTCCACTCAACTCATGGACTGACCCACCTTCCCACATGCCTGGCCTTTGGTGGATGTTAGTGACATAGGGTCTGGTCCTCAAGACCCCTCCTGTACCCTTCCCCTGACCTCTTCCCCTGGGATCCCTCCTCTGGCCCACTCCCTTTCCCGCAACCCTTAGGAAGAGGTTCTCTCTACCAGGGAACTCTTATTCTTCAAGACCCAGCAGAGGTGTTTCCTCCTCTAGGAAGTCCTGCCCTGTTCCTGGGGAAGAACCAGGACTCTCTATCAGTACTACTACAATATAGTCTCCTGCTGTCCATGTCTGTGGGAGTCTGACCCACCCCACTGAAAGCTCCCATGGACAGATACTGGGTCCTAGGCAGAAAGTGTACACAGCCTGGGGAAGGTGGGGCTAGAAACCTGCCCAGCCCCAGCTTTCCGCTATATCCTGTTTTCTAGTCACAGCTGGGCTAAGTCACCCTAGAAAACAGCCCTGATGTCACCCACGGCTGGTGCTACCCAGTCCCTCATATCACAAGGGCAAAGAGCAGTAATCCAGGGCATCTTTGTCAACCCTTTACTCACCAGGCGGGAATTCCTCTTGGACTCCCTAATCTGTCCCTGGAGTTTCTCCTGCTCCTGCTGGTGCACTTCCAAATAGGCCCTGGGGAAAGGGGCAACTACAAGAATTAGCTTACCTTTGCAGCCTCCAGCTGCCCAGTACAGGCAGTGGGAAGAAGATATGAGGCTGGGGAAGTTTCCTACTAGCAGAAAGGGGATGAGGGCTTAGGGAGGGGTCCTGGGATAAGGCATTGGGAGGAGTTCCTTACGTCAGGCCCTGCTTGAGCGCAGTGTACACCAGGTCCAGCCGCTCCGGCTGCGGGACCTTAGGGGCTGGGTGCGCCACGGAAAACATCCTGGAGACTCGGGAGAGCGCTGGGGGTTTCCGCGGGGGCCCTGGGGGACTGAAGGCCGGGAAGCTCCTGAAGAAGAGGCTACACTCAGAAAGGTACAAGAAGGAGTTCCCAAACCCTCACTGCACACCCAGCTCCAACCCCGTCACACTCTCTTGACCCCATTAGCTCCCCTCAGCTGCGTACCTGGGCCCCCGCTCGTGGCTGCCGAGGACGCCTGCGAAGGACTGGCTCCTACTGACCCGGGCGCTGAGCAGGCGGCGCTGCGGCCGCACCGACAGGGACATCATGGAATGAGTCCGCGCGGGGCTCCCTGGGGGGTGGCGAGGGCGGGTGTCCAGCGCCAGTCAGGCTTTTGAAGCCCCCTCCGGAGGCCCGGCCTCTGTATCTTAGTCCTGCCGGACACCGCCTGACGCCAGGAATCCGACAACCCCGCCGCCCCGGGGCTAATGACAGGGCGGCCGGGCGACTCGGCCTCGGACTCAGCGTGGCCTCGGCTCGGCCCCCACTTCCTGCAGAGGTGCAGGCTCCGCCTGTCGCGGGGCAGGAAGGGGGGTCGCGCGGGGACCCTCCCCCGGCTGGGAAGGGGCAGGAAAGGGGCGGGGCGCATGAAGAATGTGCGGAAGCGCCTGTTTACCCGGGGGCGGGGCGGGCTCCCCAGCCCTGCCCCTGAACTCACCCCCCAACCCTCGCAACAGTGACCAGGAGCTCCCGCGCCCCCACCCCGCGAGGCCGCGGAGGTCACCGGGCGGGGTGCACGCTCTGAGCCCAGCGGAGCTGCCCGACAGGCCCGGCAGGCGCGGGGTTGGCTCTCGCGACCCGCCCGCCCCGTGTACACTGCTCCCCTCCAGCCCCCGCCGGCTCGCAGGCGCCGGGACGCCGGAGCCCTCCCAGCGCCCAGCAGCCGGGAGATTCCCAGAGTGGGGGGCAGTGCCAAGAAGTGCCCTTCCTCCGCCACTTTCCTGTGGCTCCGACCTGGAAACTGAGTCACAGATGGACGCCTTCGCCCGCGCCCTTAGCGGGAAGGGATCCTCCGCAGACCCCCACCCTGCTCCGACTAAACACGTGCCCCTGGCCCCCACAGTCCGGCCCACATCCCCTGGGGCCAGCCCCAGGGCCTTCGCAGCCCCAGGCCGGGTCCTACCTCTCTTCTTGGCACTCATGGTAGGTCCAGGACAGCTCCCCACCCCCTGCGCTTGCCCTCCCGCCCCTGTGTCCCCACAGGCCCAGGGCCACTAGGTGCTGGCCGAGCTGGGCTCCGCGCTTGCTCCCAGCGACGCCGGCTCCGGCTTCAGCTCCTCCCGGCGCCGCCCCCCGCCCAGTTCCTGCCGCCTGACTCAGCCCGCCGGGATGGGGCGGGACCGGCTGGACTGGGGGGGCGGGGGGGGAAAGGGGGGCACCGGGCCCGGGGACTGGCCGGCCTCTGGGAGGGGTGCCTGGGGGTTCCCTTGGGGGAGGAGACTGAAGTGGATCCTCTCGGGTGGGGTTAGGCGCTTGGGTAAAGGGAGTTGAACGCGGCGGTGAAGAAGGAGGGATAAACAGAATGAAGACCCTGAGTGGAGGCTGGATTGGATGCAGTTAGAATAAGGGTCTCATAGAGTGGCTGTAGAGGGGTGCTGAGAGAGGACTGAGCACACAGAGGGCTGGGAATTGGGGTTCTGAGTATGTAAAGACTGGAAGGGCTGTGGGTGCGGAGTGGAGGGTCTATGCCAATGGAGGGCAGAGTCGGGCACCAGCATGAGGGGTCTGGGAGGCTGAGAAGAGAGAGGGGCTAAAGTGTGGGACTGGACAAAGCTCATATTATGTGTTGCTGCCTCAAGAAGGAAGCAAAGAAGGGGTGCCTGGGTGGCTCAGTCGTTAAGCGTCTGCCTTCGGCTCAGGTCGTGATCCCAGGGTCCTGGGATGGAGCCCCGCATAGGGCTCCCTGCTCCACGGGAAGTCTGCTTCTCCCTCTCCCACTCCCCCTGCTTGTGTTCCCTCTCTCGCTGTGTCTCTCTCTGTCAAATAAATAAATAAAATCTTTAAAAAAAAAAAAAAAAGAAGGAAGCAAAGAAGGAACTGGGTACAGAGTCACACAGCCCCCATCCACAGAGGGGGTGCTCATTCTAGGCACACTCCCTGGCACCCCCAGGCCCTAGGGAAGAGGATCAGGTCCCACTTCCCAGCCAGGGCCTCCTCTCTAGTAGAAGCTGCATCCTAGAATGAGGCCCCCTCCTTCTGGCCACCAGCTCACATGGCTGAATCTCCCTGGTGTTGGCCCTTTCCCGCCACCAGTATCTTTTCCTTGAATTTCCTTCATCCACCTTGAACCTAAATAGAGGCTACCATGCCCAGGGACTAGTGGGCATTGGAAGGGCTGGGTGCTCCCTCATCCCATAAATACTCCTGCTCCCTGATGCTCAGTTCTGCTTACTTTCTCCCTGAGAGGCTGGGGTGGGCCCAGGGATCAGCATTTCCAACAAGCCCACCACTCCCCTACAGATTCAGATGCAAGATGCCCAAGAAACCCCAGTTTGAGAAGTGCTTAACCTCCTCTCTCTCCTTGAAGACCTGGTGCTGTGCACCCTACACTAGCAACTATGTATTCCTGTGCATTGCCTGCCCAACACTGGCCTTCCTGCTCCCTTCAGCCACCCTCCAAGGGAACACCCTGGCTCTGGAATGCCCCTTTCCTAAATCGCAACCACAGTGACTCCAACCTTAAGTCTCTCTCCATCACCTCCACCTTCCCTGTCTTCTACCTGAGACCTCTTGAGCCCTCAGCTCATTTATTCACCTATTCACTGAGTGACAACTCTGTGCCAAGCATGTGTCAGTCACTGGAGATACAGCCCAGAATTTCACAGACACCATCCTGCACAGAGCTCACAATTGGCCCCAGCTTCCTTTCTCTCTGCCAGCTCCCTCCCACCTTCTCTTCCCTGCACATCCTTCTCCCCAGCCTAGATCCACAGCCACCACTGCATCACTCACTGCTGCTAATATCCCGAGCACTCTGTGCTTCTCTCCTACCTGGCAGGAAGCACTGCTGGGCAACCCACCTCCCTGCCTTCTCTGTGCCTGCACCTGCTGGAACTGAGCTGGAACCACAGAGCGATTCTCTCAAGCTCATCCAGGCTCTCATTTCCCACCCGGGAAATCCTCCTGTGTGGCCCTCCTCATCTTTCTTCCTTCTCACAGATGATGAGTGTTTCAGACTTTCTCCACAAGCCTCAAACAAGCTCAAGTCACTTCCACATAAAAAATGAAAACAACCCTGGCAACTACCAAAATGCCCATCTGTAGATAATGGAACCCTATACAGCAAAAAGAATGGACAATATATAACTGCACACAGCAATATGGATGAATCCTACAGACATAAAGAAGAAGCAAGACAAGAGAGGACATGTGTACGGTTCCCTTGATATGAAAGTTCAAAAACAGGCAGAACACATCTATGGCGATAGAAGTCTGAATACTAGTTACCCTTTGGGAGTAGTTACTGGAAGGGGGCCCAAGGGGGCTTCCAGGGTGCTGGTAATGTTCTGTATTTCCTAATCTGGGTTCTATTTTCTGATCCTATGTGGGTGTGTTCCCTTGTGAAAAATGGGTTGAGATGTACGCTTAGGACATGCACCCTCTCTGTAGGTATATTTTAATATAAAGTTGACTTTAATAACTCCAAAATGAAATGACCCTTCTGTGGACCCCAAATGTCTTTCCAGCGACCCCACCCATGGTTCCATTTGGCCTTTTCAGAGTCAGATTTCTCGAAGAGATGTCTACCTCGATTTCCTCTCCATGACCAGCCAGTTCTCTTCCCACCCTGGTCCACCTTCCACACCCACCACTCCCCTGACTGGTCAGTGACTTCCCTGTTGCTGAATCCAGTGTCCAAGGCGTAGTCCTTATCATGCTTGATCTCAGTAAAGCTTTTCACTCTGTGGCTCTCTTCCTCTTCTTTGAGCCCTTGAATTTCAAGAGGCAATAACATGCTCCTGGTTTTCCACCTATCTCTCTCTGGCTGGACATTTTATTTTCCCACAGGAGATCTTTCTCATCATCCCGGAATGGGCCTCAGCCTCCTCACTCTTGGTCTGGGTACATCTCCCACACCTCAATGCCACCTAAATGTTGCCAACTTGCTTATCTCTTCCTTGCCCAAACGGCTCTTCTGAGCACCAGGCCTCTATAGCCAACTGCCTGCTTGTCACCTCCCCAGAAGTTGAGTGACAATGCAGAGTGGGCTACTGGGGATGTGCTGAGTTTGAGGTCCCCAAGCTGAATCCACCAATTTCCTTCTCAAACTTGACTCTCCCCAGTCAACCTCTCTGTGGCAGCCCCACCCCCTCTTTACCCAGTTGTTCAATACAGAAACTAGGAGTCATCCTGGATGCCTCTGTCTCCGTTACCCCCACATCCACTCAGCCACCCACTCCTGCCATCTCTGGAATCTGCTCCCCTCACCTCCACTCCCATAGTTAGAATTCGAGTCCAAGCTGTCACCACCTCTCATCTAGAACCCTACTGCAGCTTCCTAATGGGCTCCCTGTCTCCACTGTAACCCACGATGATCCGTTCTTTTTTTTTTTTTTCTTAAGGGTATCCAGCTTTATTTTACATGGTTGCCTACATTTTTTTTTTTAAGTAAGCTCTGCACCCAACGTGGGACTTGAACTCAAGACCCCTGAGATCAAGAGTTGCATGCTCTACTAACTGAGCCGCCCCCTGCATTGTTTATTCAATAACAACATTGCTCTTCTTAAAATTCCAGTCATCTCCCAATGCCAAAAACCGTGCTTTGACAAGTGCTTTCTATAGGCCAGGCCCTGCACTTAATCAACAAACATCATCTCATTTAATTCTGGTAACAACCCTAATAGGGGTAAATCTTATTAGCCCCATCTCGCAGATGAGAAACCTGAGGCTAACTGGCTGTGTGACCTCGGGCATGACGTTTCTTAGCCTTTTTGGGCTTCAGATACCCCTCTGTTAAATGAGCATAATAACAACAATGGTCTCCCGGGGCTGTTGGGAGTTTGAAATGAGGTACTTCTCTCTCTAGGGAGTGTTTGGGGAAGGGAAAATTGTATGTGGGGTAAGGAAGTTGGGGTGGGCACACTACTACACTTAAAGCACACGACAAATATTAACTGCTATTATTAATAATCACTAATCTGCCCAAGATTACACAGCTGGTAAGTGGTAGGGCCAGGATTCAAATCCAGACAGTCAGACCCCAGGACTCTGAGTCTTTAACATCCCCCTCTCTGACTCTTGTGAAACATCCATGGGTGACTCCCTACCCCAGGGATAAAGTCTAGATTCTCTGACATGACCCCCAACACCCTTCAGGCTCTGTGCCTCCCCACATATACCTTCAACCAGTCCTCCACTCAGTACCCCCTGCTCCTCTCATGGTCTTTCTGTTCCAGCTACTGTGACCCTCTCGAAACCTGCAAGGCTCTTCAGCCTTTGAGCAGCAACCTCCATTGCTCCTGTACCCTCCTCCCATACTCTCAGCCTGAACAACTCCCTCTCTTTTTTCATGTCCTACCCTATGACTTCTTCTTCCAGGAAGCCTGCCCTGGGTTGGTTGGTTCCCCCTTTCAGGCGCCTCATAGCTTCCTTCCTCTGATCCCTGAGACCACATAGCTCAGTTGTCAGTTCTCCTTTAGCATCTGTCTTCCAACCAGACTGTGAACTCTGGGATCAGGGGCCTGTTTGTGGGGTTCACTGCTGTGCCCTCTGGGCCCCACACCAGGGAGATGAGGGAGGGGGCTGAGTGAACCGGGCTGCCCGGACACAGAAAGAGCAGATCGTGGGCTGTTGAAGGGGTAGATTTCAAGTCTGTGCCCACCCCAACTCCCCTATCCTGCATACAATCTTCCTTTTCCCTGATATAATCAGCAAGTAGGGTTCTGCTCCCTGGGCATAAGGCAGGGTGGGGGCCCTGGGATTCTGGAACCAAGTGGGTAGGCTAGAATCAGAGTAGGCTAACTGTCCCAACACTTTTCTTTCTCTGACTACGGCTCTGCTGCCACCAACTCCCTAGTCCCTGACAGGGACCAGGATGTTGGTCTGCACTCTCGCCAAATCTAACTGTTGGTCTGCACTCTCGCCAAATGACCATCATAATATCCACCTGAGTGACCATTTCAGCGGGTGGAAAGGCAGGATCTTCCCTGCTGCAGGGGAGAGAAAGAGCTGAACCCCTTTGAGCTAAAGGAGAGGGCCCGCCTTAACTGGCAGGGGCTGAATGATGGGAGCCAGGGGACTCTCTGGACTCATGCCAGCCCTGAAGTCTGTTCTGGACATGGGAAAGATCCCAGGTCCCAAAGGTTATGGGGCCTGCAGCACAGCCAGCTCCAGCTCCTGCATGGCCCCAGATTCCTCCACCCCCAATACCCTCTATGCCAAAAGTGGTGCACTTGTGTGGGACGGGAGGTCCCACCACCTTCACTGCCCGGCTCAGTGGTATGCCAGGCCAGGCCAGCAGCCTAGCCAGGAGTCCCCGGTCCAGCCCCGCCTAGGCGCGGGGCTGCCCCAGACTGAGGTAAGCAGACGCTAAAAATAACCGGGGCAAGGGGCGGCTGCAAGAATGGGGTCCCTAACCGAACCTGTCCGGGTCTCCATGGCGACTGCCCCCAAACCCGGCTGCTGACGTCATGCTGCAGCTGCCTGAGCAGGAGGGAGGGGGGCGCGCGCGCGCGCGCAGCCTGGGACCCCCCACCCCGGAACGAGGCGGAGGCGGCCGGGTAGCTTCACTTCCTGCCGGCCCCCTCCCTGGTCAGCTGGTCACATTCCCCGGCTGGCGGCGCCCTGGAAGCCTGGTGGCCTCCCCTGGGCAGGGCCTGGCAGGGTCGGGAGTCCCCAGCCGTAGTGAAGGGCCAGGGTTGACTGAGCCTCGTCCTCCTCACCTGCCTTTCCACCCAGGGTGCACCCAGCCTGGCTCCCTGCGTGCGCCCCTCACCCCCACCCAAATCAGGCCTCTATCTCTGGCTGCTGCCCCACAGAACCCAGGAGGGGGAGGGGTGGTGGGAGTGGAAGCTAAGCCAGGCCTCCCTGTCCCGCTGGAGTATTTTGTACCTCATTCTTCGATTCTCATTCCCCACACCCTCTCCATGCCACAAAGGTGGTAGGGCCGTGGCAAAAATTCAGGTCTGGTTCTAGTTCCCACTTCTCCCTAAGCCAGATGTGTGACCTTGAGAATATTACTTAACCTCTCTGGGCCCGCTTCTGCATCTGTCAGATTGCTATAACCCTCCTCAGAGGGCTGTGCTGGTGTGAATGCTGCAGGCCCAGGGTGAGGTCCCACAGATGGTGGCCAGGGCACCTTTGTTATATTTGTTATATGAGACTGCACACAGTAGGTACTCCGCGAGCTCGCCTGGACCCGAATTAGGATCAGTCCAGTAGAACTGGCTAGGAAGGCTCAGTTCTGGAGACTGGACTCAGACCTCAACAGGGAGAGGACAGAGAGTGCCCAGGGCAGACTTAGCCAGATCCCTAGACTTGGTGAGCAGCTTCTTCCCCAAAACAGTTCTGCAGGGTGCCCAAGCCTGGCTGCTTGCAGAGAGACCCCGCATCAGCCTCCCATTCCCAGGGACAGGGTCTGTTCCCCCGCCAGGCCAGGGAGATCATCTCCAGCCTCAGCCGTCTGGGCGAAGAGCCCGGCCACAGGCCAGGATCCGCCACCTCGGGCCGAGCCCCAAAGCCGCTTAGGCCGGCCAGTAGGACCAGGAAGATTAGCTCATCTCGGAGGCTGGCCTGCACCCTCACCGCCCCCTCCCCATTCCCAGCTCAGCCTCCCCCGCGGAGAGGGCAGGGGGGGCTCCCGGAGAGCGCCCCTGCCAGCGCCCAGGCTGGCGCCTTGGGCCCGCCGTCAGGCCCGGCCCACCCCAGAGCTCCGGGGCAAGGGCCGCCTGGGCCTTGCCTTGGGAGGGAAGAAGGCCCAGATGCGGCGGCTTTTGTGGGCGTCCTCCGCGCCCGGGGGGAGGGGAGGAACCACACCGCGCGGCTCGGGTCCCGGGGATGGGGCGATGTGGGACAGGGCCGCAGCCGGGGCAGCAGATCCGGGACCGATGGGGAGGCACCCGGAGCGCCGCGCCCATCCCCGGCACGGCCCGCGGGCCCGGAAACGGCGGTGACACTCACATGGCTGCGCTGGGCTGCGCGGACCTCGCGCTCTCCGTGCGCTCGTCCCTGCTCGGCCTGGTCGCGCCGCAGCTGCCGCTGTCGCCGCTGCCGGCGTCCGCCCCTCCTTCCGCCCGTCGCCCGCCGCCCAGCCACCCCGCTCCTCCCCAGCCCGCTGGGCCCCACCCACTGCGCTCCCGCGGCTCCCGCACCCGAGGAGGCGCCCACGGCTCGCTCCGCCCTTTCGGGTAACGGGGCAGGCCAGTGGCCCGCGGGGTCCACCAGCCTGCGGGGAGGCGGGGCCCTGGAGGACGCGAGGGTGGTGGGAGCTCTCCGCGCTCGGGATCCGCGGGAACTGGGCAGCTGCTAGCAAAGCCAGTCCCATTCCTTCCCACACAGATCCCAAAACAGGGTGCGCCGGAAAGCCCCGCTTGCCTGCCCCCTCCTCAGAATCTGTGGTCTCTAGAGATCTTTCAGGCCCTCCTATCTGTGACCGCCTGAAACAGGTCCTGGAGCGGCCACTGCTGGGTTGGGTTGGTTGGAGGAAAGGATCAGGGACAGTTTCCAGAAGGGGAACAAGGGGGCCTGAAGCCTAGCCATTGGACACCTGGCCGTGCATTCACCATTTATTGGTTATTGGCTTCTGGGGAGCCTCAGGCCTTGCTCACAGAGCTTGGCAGGGTTTGGGTACCTGGGCTTAGGGCACATGTTGGCCAAGGGGGCCAGAGCCCAGTCCTTCCCAATAAGGGGACTGGAACACTGCCTCTCCCCTTGAGTGGCTCGAGGTGGAACTGAGAGCTCTGAGCCTCACCCTTCAGGTTTCACTCTGTAGTCCTTCACCTTTGGAGGTAGCACAGACATACCCAGGAGCAGGCTGAGGGACCTTAAGAGGTTCTTGAATATCTGCACCCCTCAGGGTTGGTCTTCACAACCCAGAAGTTGTATGGGGGGGGGCAAAAAACCTCAGGGGGCACTGATATCCTCTCCATCACCAGTTCTTCCAAGAGACACACCACCCTCTCCCAGTACTCTGGCCTCCCAGCCCCTCCTCTTTGCCTTCCTTTGCAGCACACCTTTCTCTATAGTCCTTGAACCTGGGGATTGCTTCCAGGGACAGGGCTCTCTTTATTTCCCCACCCTACAATATCACCCAGTCCCAGGGCTTCCATCCATCCACTGCTGAGCATACCAAGCAGTCCTCCATGCTCAGAGCCCTCTCCCGTTCCAGAGCCTCTCGTTGACCCACCAGATCTCATGACCGGCCCCCGAGGGACTCTTCTTCCTTCGTCTCATCTCTGCAAAGCACTGACGTCCATTTAGGCTCCCACCTGAGCCAGAGGCCTGGCCTCTACAGAGCTCACAAAACTGGAACAAGTTGGTCCCTGCCCACCTCTGAAGTCACCTCCTCTGCAAGGCATCCTCTGACCACCTTCTCTGAAGACAGCCTCTCCTTGTTACTCTCTCTCCCCATGTCCTGTGGACTACCTTCATGTCACTAATCACCACCAGGAAGCATGTATGCCCATGTGTGCTCATGTGCTAAACCTGCCTCACTGTGGGCCTTGAAGTTCTGTGGGGACAGGGACCATGGAAGTCGTTGTCACCACTGTCCCTGGCTCGAGAAATATTTGTCAGATGATGGGGCACCTGGGTGGCTCAGGCCGTTAAGCGTCAGACTCTAGATCTCAGCTCAGGTCTTGATCTCAGGGTCATGAGTTCAAGCCCCGCATTGGGCTCCACACTGGATGTGCAGCCTACTTTAAAAAAAAATTTTTTTTTAAATATATATAGTCAGATGAGCCAGTGAATGAATGAAGTGAATGAATCAGAAAATGCATGAACCATGACGTCATCTCTCCTACCCCCACCTTCATTCAGCCTTCTAGTCCTGTTGATCCACCTCCAAGACATGTTTCAAATTCATTCCCTCCTTGTATTCATTCATTCCCTCACCTCCCACTGCAAGTACTCTGTTTATTAATTAATTCTACAAACACCCACTGAGCACTCAAGGCTGGGCAGTTTGCTGGCTCCTGGGGTGGCAGGGGCATAGAGCAGTCCCTGCCCCATTGCTCAGAGCTTTGATGAGGCAGCACTGATTGCAGGGCCTCACCAGAGCACTGTCCGAGGAATTCTTTCTTATTCTGGAATTCCACTTCCAGAAAATTTCTACTTTTTTTTTTTTTAAGTAAACTCTACTCCCACGGTGGCGTTTGAACTTACAACCCCAAGATCGAGTCACATGCTCTACTGACGGAACCAGCCAGGTGTCCCGAAAATTTCCACTTTTAATGGATGATTCCCTCACCCTTCGTAGCCACTCCGTTCTGTGTGTGGTCATGTCTCTGCATGGTCACAGTTGGTACCTAGGCCTGGCCCACCGTCTCTTCTGGCCTCCCTCCCTCCACCTTTATCCCCTACAGTTGTCCTCTACCTAACAGCTTGGGTGATCTTGAAATCATAAATCAGGTCATACTGGTTGACCATTGCCCTCAGGATAAGTCCAGACTCAGTCGTGGAGCCTCTAAGAGGTCTGGTCTAAGATGACCTCACCTACTCATTTCCCATGCATCCTGCCAGTCTTCGGTGCTCTGGTTCTACCTGTGACTCCCTGAGCGTGGTCCCCACGCTCTGGCCTCTGTCTCTTCTCCCAGCTTCCCTTCTACTTGGGTTGCTCCTCCCCCTTATCCACTTGGAAAAGGATTCAACTCTCCTCCAAGAAACCTGTATCCTCTGGCTTCCCACTCAACCCTTCTGAACACCTATTACTCCCTATTGTCCTTGTCTGTGACCAGGCTTGGCTCCCCATCCTGTGACTACCAGGGCCAGGCATGGATGGGGCTGCAGTGAGCAGATGGGACATCTTCGCCTGGCCCCTGCCCCTTGCCTAGGCACCTTGAAGGAGGGATGGTAGCTGAGGCCTATGGGGTGATGGAGGCCTCTCAGGCTTCTCCCCAACAACCATGAGCCAGGTGAGGAAGGACACAGCTGAAAACCATTTCACAGAGGAGCCATCCTGAGGCTCAGGGAAGGCAGGACCTTTCCATGGTCCTGTGCTTTGGAAGGGGCAGTCTGAGCTCCAGCTCAGTTCACTGAGTCCTAATCAGTTTGGCTCTGAGTCAGCCATGGTTCCCTGAGCACATGCCCAGCTTGGCGCCAGGCTGGGAGTCAGGGCAGAGCCCAGAACCATCACCATTTCTAACCATAAGTACCATGAGTCCACATTCCTGAAGGGAAGGGCTCTGGCCTGAGAAAAGTCCCTCAACTAAACAGCAGAGGGTGGTGAGAACCACAGCGAACCCCAGTTCCTCGTGTAGGATGTAGCTAGTCCCACTTTTGGAAGTAATGCAGTTCAAGTCCCCAAACCCAGAAAAATGGAGGCTTCCCTCACCCCACCCCACAGCCTCCATGGCTACATCTCTCTGGTATGCAACTTCACTCCCCAGCTTTCTGGGAGGCAACAGAGTAAAGCCTTCCCCTTACTGTGCCTCGGACAGAGTGTGCAGCATTCATTCATTCGCCAGATAGTCACCAAGCAGAAGCTGCTGCATGCTCAGCTCCTGAGGGACCAGAAGCGGGGGGCGGGGGGAGGGGGGCCAGCGGTGAGGCAACCTCATCCCTGCTTATGGGGGCTCACTGTCAATTAGGGCATCTACAGCCCTGAGTCTCTGTACCTCCTGTGTCACCAATGTGTGTGTGGGAGAGAGAGAGTCGGTGAGTGGTGGGGGCAGATGATGGCTCAAGACGGAGGACGTAGGGGCCTGTGGCTAGGTCTATACCTGCCACCGACCTCCACTCCCCTCCAGCCCCAAGCTGGATTCTACTTCCCATTGTGTGTGTCAAAGGGCAAGGGCCAAGGATGCTGTTCCACGTTCGAGTCCTAGCTTTACCACTCTCACCTCATGGTTTCTGGAGCCACTTCTCTTTTCTGATGCTTTAACTGAACCCATTCACCCATTAAAACTGCAATTTGAAGATGCACTCCATCTCATTCATAATCAATACAATGTCAATATAAACAACAAGAAACACTTTTTTTTTTTTGCCTCTGAGATTGGAAGTGAGGGACGATGTGTGAGTGGACACTCTCAAGAGAGTGGGAATTGGTTTGAGGGTTTAGGCGTAGTTTTTTCAGTATGTTTTAGGATGTCAAGTGCAAACCCTCTTTCAGTTCCACTTCAAGAAATTCACCCCAAAGAAAGAGTTGTACAGGCAAGAAAAGATCTGTGCCTGAGGATGTTGATTACTGGCTTGCTTGCCCGGGGTAAATGGACGACACAGTCCTCGTGACCATCAGTGGGTGACAGAATGCTGGAGGAGGTGCACGTATGCCCGGAGATGCTCTGTGGCCACCGGAAATGGAAGCCAGGCACGGATCAAACACGTATGAGGCACCTGGCATCATTCTGGATGCTGGGGACACAGTGGCAGACGAGACAGGCAAGGTCTCTGCTCACAAGGAGTTTACACTCCAGCCAAAGGAGACCGATCATCATCAAGTTAGCACCTAAGTACGATAACTTCAGAGAGAAAGGAGAGAACTGGAGAAAACCACCAGGGTTGATGTGATGTCAAGGGATGGGGCTGAGGGGCTACTTTATTTTATTTTATTTTTTTTTAAGATTTTATTTATTTTTTTGACAGAGAGAGAGACACAGCGAGAGAGGGAACACAAGCAGGGGGAGTGGGAGAGGGAGAGGGAGAGAGAGAAGCAGGCTTCCCGCTGAGCAGGGAGCCCGATGTGGGGCTCGATCCCAGGGCCCTGGGATCATGACCTGAGCCGAAGGCAGACGCTTAACGACTGAGCCACCCAGGCGCCCCTGAAGGGCTACTTTAGTCAGGTGGTCAGGGAAGGCCTCTTTTGAGCCGAGAACTGAATGGCAAGAAAGAAACAGTCATGGAATGATCCAGAGAAAGGGTATTGCAGTCCGAAGGAACAGCAGGGCAACCGCTCTGAGGTGGCAATGAGCTTGCTGTGTGTGAGTCACGTGGGCTGCAGCAGAGGGAGAGGAGGTCTGCGAGGCGGCAGGCTCAGGTCAGGGTAGGGTAGGGAGTCAGGGCTTTCCATCTTTCCACAGGGAAGGGTGCTCCACCCAATAAACA